TTGGCTCCTTAAACGCTGCCCAGCCTCTCTCAGAGCCACAGCCACGTGCTTGAAGGCCGTCTGACCTCCACCCACAAACAGCAGCTCCATCTCCAGGAGAGTAAGCATAGCGATGGGATAGACGGCGTGTTTTCTGCTCATGCAGTCATCTTATTTCTATTCCCAGCATCTCCGAAAACAAAAACCACTTATAATAACCGGTCTCCAATATCGGTCTCCAAAGTGAGCAGCGACGTTTGAGATTGGCTGATTGATCCAAGCGCGCCTCGGAGGCTGAACAGATGATTAGAAGCAAAAACGAAACGTGTCCAATCAATGTGTGTTAAACTTACAGCGCTGTAACCTACAACCTGCAAAGAACGGCTGATCAATGAGTGCTCGACCTATACAGAAGGTCCTTAAAATTGGTGCAGTTATGATGCTACTGTGTGGTGGATTTGGAGACTTTTTCTGAGTTCCGAGGCTATTACAGACACCCTGCATTCGATCCAAAGAACTAATTTACCGAGAATCACTGGAAATTAGTCCAAACAAGACCTTTGTTTCAAACTTAAACTTCAAACTATAAATGTGTGTCTCTACAGCAGCTGCAGCCCATAAGAGGGTACAGTCGGCATGTAAAGTTTTTGTACCGTTGTCTGAAGCTTTTTTTGAAAGGATTTTCTTTTGTTGTGAATAATGATATCATCCCCCAACAATATCATCTGTATCAAAGAGGTGGATAATTACAGAACGAGTGATTGATGAGGTGGTTGGAGAGTGTGCTGCAGGTGCAGAGCCTCGTCTCTGTCCGTGGTGCTGAAAGTCTCCTGCAGCACTTCCCTTTCGATTCGGAGGCTGAGCGCATCCATTCACAGGAAATCAGCTCTTATCATTTAAATCTGATTGAGTATATTTGACTTTAAATTTGGCATTTCCAGAAATAAATATGCGTTAGGTCAACAACGGGCTTTAAAATCAAATCAGGATAGCTTCTACTGAAGACACTGGTGCCCAGCTCAGTAGTATTATGGATCTCTTGACACCTGCAATAACAAATGTGATGCTCTTTAATATTATTTGGCTATCAGCTGCAAATGTGATCGCTCGGAACGATTTGAAATTAAGAAAACTAGACTGGATGAAAAGATCTGGCATTTCTTCCGTTTAGATTGCGTGAAGAAAAGATACCGTGATACCTGCATGGGCACATGGTTTAGAAAAAAACAAAACATAATCATACAGACAGCATATAAAGCATGTATGCACTTCCATTGGTGTTTTCAGATCCTGTTTTCATTCAGGACTACTTGAAGCAATTGGAATATGCTTTAAAGTAGTGAATCCGCATGATTTTCAATATTTGGGAATTTATTTATTTATTACGTTTTATGTAAGGAGATGAAATAAAAGGGGGGGGGAATAAACCCTGTAAGTTTAACCACCTTTGTGAAAGGAAAAAACACAAAAACTTAACTGGATTGAGTATTTTCATCCCCACCAGCGACACCTTTTTGCTGTAGTAAAACACCACCGCCAGGGGGCGTCACTGGCACGCACTTTTCCATTTTCAGTACCCTTTGAAGACGATTGTGCTGTGAAGCCCCCACAGAGTGAAACATCTCCACAGCGCGCAAACACATTGTTTGCCATTGTTTGAAATGAAAACCTCTCAGATGGGAAGAAAAACACCTTAACAAGCAAACACAAATAAGTGGAAGTAGTTACATTCCCAAGGTTGGAAAGAACTTGGGGAAAGGAACGGCTTTAAATGAATTATTTGGATACAAATTCATGGCCTTTTGCACAATGAGCCGACAGAAAAAAACGCCCGCTTTCCTCAACCAAATAAACTATTTTTGATGGCGATTTTTTTTAAAGATCGCGCAGTGAAACCTTGTAAACAACAAGCAAGATGAATTTTTTGTTTGTTTGTTTTGGGGGGTTTTGTTTTGTATTTTTATAAGTTGCTGGGGTGCGGTTTTTGATAGAAAAACGAAGAGGGCGGAGGACAAAAGCCCCGCTGAAAAGGGCACATTTCCCCTGCTGAGTGACCTCGACCAATTCAGGAGATGTGCTGACAAGGAAAATATTCAGTTTATGCCACAAGTCCAATACCGGTGGATCAAAATTATTATTATTATTATTATTATTATTATTTAGAAATAGTTAATTAATACCCTGCAGCACGCTTCGTGCATAGTGACCCCTTTTACACAGATATATACACTGGTAATATCACTGGGTTACAATTACTATTTGTGTGTGTGTGTGTGTGTGTGTGTGTGTG